AGGGGGACGGCAGGGGCTCCTGAGGGAGGATATAGAGGGACCATGGGGACGACTGCAGGGGATTCTGGGGGGGATATTGAGGGACCAGTGGGACGGAGGGGGCTCCTGAGGGAGGATATAGAGGGACCATGGGGACGACTGCAGGGGATTCTGGGGGGGATATTGAGGGACCAGTGGGACGGAGGGGGCTCCTGAGGGGTAGGGTGACTATAGGATGGGGTTCTCCTGGACGTGACCCTCTTTTTATCCTCCAGGCGGCTTTTTGAAATAGGAAGAAATGTCCAGGTCTGGGATTTTTCCTTGCTCATTGCGGCAGAGGAAGATCCACTTCGACGCCGTGGCTGGTCCCTCCCCTGAATCTGCAGCTGCCGGATCCTGCCCAGCCCAGCCCGGCCTGCCAGGTAAATGGAGCCCCCAAGCACCTCTTGCCCGGCTGCCTGCCCCACCCAGGGGCCTCAGAGCCTGGCCAGGTTGTGAGGGGTGACAGGCCAGCCCCAGCAACCCGCCATGGGCAGGGGGAGATGCTCAATGGGAGGTTCTTACTGATGGCCGGGCACATCCACCACCATGACCCAGATACCCTCCCCCAGTACCCCCCAGGTACCTCCTCCAGCACCACCAAAAAAAACCCCAAATCCCTCCCAGTACACACACGCCCCTCCAGCACCCCCCAGGGACCCCTCCCAGCATACAGTCTCTCCGGGATGCTGGGTATGACAATTGAACCGCTTTGCAGAATGTAACCCTACAGGTAATATGGATACCAAGCTGGAAGAATCCTGATCTAAGCTGGCCGCAGCCTGGAGCCGGAAATACCCCTTGACGGGCGAACGTGGGAGCCAGCATGGGAGCGGGTTCAACCAGTGCTTTTCAACGTGTCTTTCCAGTCCATAGCATGGGTGGTGCACCCCAGAGATGGTGGGTGGACCGGGCACACCCCAACTGCAGCACATACACAGAAGGGTTGAAGCATCAATTTAATTGGTGGGTGAGGAGACACATGGAATTGTCGCTTGAAAAGGGATTTGTGGGCAGCAGGAAACAGGGCTGGGTGTATGAAATCTGGGGGACTGTTGAGTAACTGATAAGCCACAATGTAAAATTGCAGCAGCAAATCAATGAGCTACTGGCCCAGCAACTGTCTGCAATCGCAATGGGATGGAAAAGGGCCACAAAAGTGAACCTGCGGCTAACTCAATGGACAGGAGACCTCGTGACATGGGTGGAGGGTGGCTTCTAAAGGCGAACTTGGGAGGGGGAAGTGTGCATGGGGATACAAAACGCCCAACTCTGGGGCTAGCTCCTGTGTAGTAGTTACTGTGGTGCCTTGGAACGGGATGGCTACTAAGGGGGTCCCCATGAGCCCTATGGGAATAATGAGAAAGGGAGGAGCTCGCTGGGACCCACAGGGAGATAGATGGGGAGGATGGAATGGTGTAAAATGGACAATAATTCAGTTAAGTAATTGTCCAGAGAAAATATCTGAATGTGTCCCTCCTCAATGGCCACGGAGGGGCAGAATTATTGGCCTGTTACAAATGGGGGCCATTAGGGGTGATCTATATGGGGTCTGGGATGTTTGCTGGGAATGTACACAACACTTGGGGACACAATTGCACCAGCATCGCACAGTTACACACATCTACACACTGCCATCGGGACTACGGTGCACGAATGGCTCTGTGGAACCCATTGCTGTGCACAATCAAACCAGCACCTCTTACCCCACCCCATACCAAATAGTTGAACTGGTGCAGACAGCACTGAATTTCATTGTGGATATTCAATGGAAACACAATATGGACCAGAGTACACAAAGATTGCAGGAGCAACTCACCGCGACCACCAATAGTTGGACACACTTACAATACACACGTCAGGATGGCGTTGACAGAATTTTAACCCTGTCGAAGGAGGAGAAGCAGTGTGTTTGGTGGTGGTTGGGATGTTGGACTATACTACAGTGGTCAGGACTCTCGGTGTTGCTGTGGATTATCATGGCAACTGGTGTATTGTTAAGTATACTTGTGCTTCGTTGCATATGGAACAGTCAAGAGGGGCACAACCCTCTAAAGAACGGCCACTAATTATAACCTATAAGTGATGTAATAGGCCGTTCCCCCTAGTGTACTAGACAACCCAGACCCAACCTTCTCAGGCCCACTATACTGGGAAGTCTGGAACACTAATTGGAATAGGTGTGGTATGCCCGTACCAGAGAAGGTGCAGGGCATTGTACTACACAAGGGGCAGTGGGACAGATGGAGCATCGACACCTTCCACCTCGATGCCTGGCCCTATCAGGAAATGTGTCGCCGTATATCCTATGCTTTCCCAGGGATACCCGGGCAGCAGGATCCCAAAAGAAAAGAAAGGGGTGGAGTGTTAGGATATAGATATTCAGGCCTGCCTGTACAGGCCTATACTTTAAGAACTTAGGTGTATTTTTAGCACTAGCTAGTGACAAGGGTATAAAACAAAGAATCAAATTCACAGTCTGCCTGTGTCTGGGCCTTCTCTCACCAGGAGAGTCTGAGGCCTGGTTCTTAGGCTCAGGCCTTTGGCTCAGCAGCAGGGGCAGCCATAAGCCGGGAAGTGAATGGTCACATCCTCCCATCCCAAACCAGTCACACTGACATAAGGGGCTATTGGGCTGTGTCAGGGCTGATTCCCCACTCTGGCACTTTGAGTGCAGGAAGTGGGGCCCACAAGGATTCTAACAATACTGGCCACTCCGGGCTGGTATTCAGCTCCCAAGTTTGCAGCTCTTCTCTGACCTTGGATTGGTATTTGCTGCCACCACCCAAGAGCAGAACCCCTTGGAGAGCCCAGGAAGGGGCACTTGGGAATTCCTTCCTGTGGGTCCCCTCAATCCCTTTCACCTCCACTCCAGGGAAGAGCTGAGAAAGAAAAACAAAGGAAATCAGCTGTTGCCACCGGCTAAATAAACAATACGGGCACAAACCTCGTAGACACAAAAATCCAATTCTGTTCTTTAAAAAGGTAAATTTTATTAATTAAAAAAAAGAAAGAAAATACATCTGGGAACTCAGGTTATTGCTAGGTTTAAAAAAAACAACTACAAGGATTAAGCACCGAGGATAGCTTTCTTCAGGTTCATCTTAAGGGTTACAAGCAAAACAAAAGCACCTGGGGTTAGCAAAGAGGAATCCACAAGCCATTAAGAAATAAAAGGGCTAAACCTAATCTTGTCTTCCTAGACATTCCCTGATCCACTTACATAGCTGGGGTTTCAAATGAGCAGTTTCTAGGTATGAGACTGATGACTTTTTCTTACCTGGCCCAAGCTTCTTACAGCATCGCTCTGCCCCATCCGCCTCTCCCCGGACAACAACAACAGACAGACAAAAGGGGGGTCTTTTTTCAATTTTAAAAAGTTCGAGCCTTCCCATTGGCTCTTTTGGCCAGGGGCCCACTCCCTTCCTTTTATCTATGCAAGCAGTGAGACTTTTTAACCCTTTACAGGTAGAGCAAGTAGAGAACAGCTACTAAGAGGGATTTTATAGCTACTGGCTGGCTGGGTGTCCACAAAAGGGAGCTATCCCCTCTTCCCCCCTTTCATTTATCACAGGCTGTTAGGAAGACAATCCTGTCCTGATAGTGCCCATCACCACCAGATAAAGAAACACATCTTAAGATGGTTAAAGAAAACTTAGGTCATGTCTTCACTAGCAATGTGGCTTGTGTAGTCGCGGCACCAGCGCTGGGAGAGAGCGCTCCCAGAACTGTAAAAAACCCACCCCCTGTAGCTCCCAGCATTGGGGCACTGTCTACACTGCCACGTTACAGGGCTGTAACTTGCTGCGCTCGGGGCGGGGGGGGGTTTTTTCACACCCCTGAGCGAGAAAGTTGCAACGCTGTAAAGTGGCAGTGTAGACAAGGCTTTAGTTGGATAGCATCCTGTCTGGCAAGAAATCACTTCTCAATGATTGTGGTTGTGAAACCCTCGTTTCTGTCTGTTTTATCTTTATGGCCCCCACTTTTCTATTCTTAATCTGTCTGGACCTGTAATCGTTTCTGTCTGCTGTATAAGGAGAGAGCAGGCAGAGCCCACCTGGAGACAGGACAGATCTAGATGTATGGTGCTGAGGGAGGCCAGGACTGTGGCCCTGAGAGTTTCCTGGGCTGAGTTCAAATGCTCAATAAACCTCCTGTTTTACGCTGGCTGAGAGTCGCTCCGGGCTAGAGAACAGGGGGGCATTATTCCCTCTGGGTGTGGAGGCCTGAGGGGACCCACGGCAGAACCAGGTTTGCTGAAGGCTCAGAGAGGTGCGGTTCCTGGAGGCGCTGGAGTCCAGGGCTTTACCCCCGAGAGAGAGTGTGGACCCCCGAGTAGGGCTGTCACACTGAAGGGGGTTACTCCCAGGAACCGTACGAAGCCGAGAGAGCATGAGTCCTGTGCGTCTGTGACACACAGGAATACAACTTTAACAAAACAAACTAAAGAGCTTCTAGTTTGCTTTTGAACTGCTGTGCACAGCTGTACTGGGTTCTCAACCGAGCTTCCAGGGCACATCACTAAATTCCTGCATTCATAATTCACTTCATTATGTGGGAGCGTCTCTAAATTCTAATCTTCAACAAACATCTCTCTAAAACCCCAACCCAGATCAGGGCCCCATTATGCCGGGCGCTGCACAGACACAGAGGGAGACACAGTTTCTGCCCCCAATGAGCTTACAGTCTAAATAGACAAAGGATTATTCTCTCCATGTTATAGGCTGGGAAACTGAGGCACAGAGATGACTAGACGTGATGAAGGTCCCACAGGCAGGCTGTGGTGGAGGCAGGTCTCCTGAGTCACACTCCAACACTCTGACTGCAACGCCATCCTCCCCGGTGCCACTAAACAGACTTTTTCTCTGCCACCTCCAGAGCCTCGGTGAGCACCCGGTGGGCATCCTCAGCAACGCCTTCCAGAAAGGAATGCAGGGCGTTGTATGTAGCTCGGAATGAGAGCTCTGCAGCTAGGAGGGTTCCATAGACTGGTACGAGGCTTATGTACTTTTTAATATTTATAATGGAATCATCCATCAGCCCGCATCGGCTGAACAAGGAACCACCAAGAGGGAAGAGAACATCGACGAATGGACTTATTGTACCTGTAACCTTGCTCAGCAGCTCCAAAGCATCTTCTCTTGATATTTCCTTGGCCAACGGGGTCTTGATCACATCCTTCAACTGAGACACGGGTTTCCTGACCTGTTTGGAGAGTTTAATGAGGGATTCTTCATCCAAACCGAAGACTTTGCAGTACTCGGTCATGGATTCCACCAGGATGTCAACATCACATGAGACGGAGAGGTGGGGGATGGGAACAGCTGCGATGGCGCATGACTTCAGGGCTCGTTTCCAGATCTGCCTCTTCAGGGCTTCTTTTTTCATAACCAGGATTGGCCTTGAGATGTTGGGAAGCGCCAGGAGGAAAACGTGTCTCTTGTGAGAGTCCAGTTCGTTTGCCAGAGTTTCCTGCAGTTGAGGAAAATCATATTGGTCGAATTCACAACTGGCAATGAGGAAAACCTGTGGGGAATTTACCCCTTCTCTCCTCAGCCTATCCACACAGTAGTCTCGGATTGTCTGTAAGGTGGTCTCCTGATTGTAGTTTCTTTTTCTACTTTCATTTCTCAAGTCCTCATCTACTTTGGAGCGCACAAAGTAGAACTTCTTCCCCATCTTCTGGATCTCCTGGGCCAGGTCTGCATTACAGGATCTGATGCGCTTCGAAGTGACAATGATGAAGAAGTCATAGCGGGCAAAGCTGACCTGCTGAAGGTAGGTGTCAGGCCGGAAACTTGGAGTCCCAATCCCAGGCAGGTCCCACATCTTCACATTGGAGAGCATGGGA